ACCCAGACAATTTTGTATCCAGTTTCTCTCTACAGATTAGGGATTTGCAAAAAAGGCATAAATTATGCCAGAGGAAAGGTCTTTGATCTCTGCTGTAGTGTTCTAACAAGTCATTTGGCATTTCTCTCTCTCACTTTATTAGGGAGACTGCTCTCCGGATGGTTGCCTGCTTACTGTTTGCATCTCTGCCCAGAGGTAAATATACTATAATACACCTCTAGGAATTTGTGGAAGTATTTACATGTGACTACACAAACTGCAAACCGATGATCTTGGAGCAAAACAGAACAAATACATGCTTCGCTTTGAATATATTTAATGACAGTCCAAGGTTTACAAGTATAGAAAATAACCTCCAGATAAACCTCTACATCTGAAAGAAGTGGTTTCAAGGGTAAAGTGTTTCAGGCTCACAAAACTCTACCTAAAAAGTTTATCCTACCCACAACCTTAAAAATACTCTACCATTACCATAATGTTAAGAATGACTTGGAATCTCATCCTTCACATCCCCCAACTGCCTTGCATCTGTTTTTTGTATTTAAACTCATTAAGTTGCTGGGTTCACTACAGATACAACCAAGTGAAAGGACTGGCACCCAGCAGCAGTCCCTCTCCCTGAACCTTTGCACATACTCCGCAAAGTTCTAGCAGAGTTGGGTTTCCAACATTTAGATTAGGTATCATTTTCCCTATGAAAGAGATACCAGTAAGTGCTGGTGAGGGAGTTCTCTACAATCTGCAGGGCAACTCCTTGTGATTTCCTTAGATGAGGTTTAAATTCAGCAATATCAAGACCTGTGTGTATGGTCAAGACTAGTCTGTTTGCCCAGAAGTGTCTCCCCTTTACCAAGCACTATGGTGGTTTAGCAGGTTACATTTCATCAGGAATTATTCAATCTCTCTTCTGGAAGCACAAATGACACTTTCTGGGAAAATGTTCAAGTATCTCCCCAGAGCAGTGTGAAAAGTCTATTACCACTCAAGATGTGCACTTTCAGTAGTTGAGGGCACCTGCAACTACCCTTGGACTCTTTTTTTTTTCCTCTCATTTTTTTTCACTCCATAAAAAAAGGGAATTCAAATTAAGTGTTTCTGAGTAAGTAAGAGGGATTCTAAGCAGCCCCTTGCTCTCCCCAAAGTACCTTTGCATGTAAGTGATACATAAACCAGTAAAGAATTAGATAATATTACCTTGTCAGGGTAACACACTTCAGTTTGAGCTCACAAGAACTCAGCAATACAAGAAATTCCTTGTTGTCATGTTCCTAACACTAGAATATTTTTCTGCTTAATCCATTACTTCCACTATTAAACTAGTTTTTCTACTATCAGAACTGAGCTAATATAACCAGAGTGAACTTGAGAGACTTACTCAAGATGTCTCCACTTCCAGGCCTTATCCACAAAGCATAAACTCTAGACTGCCCACCATCATCTCAGATTCCTCCCATACAAACAATATGTAATTAATAAACAAATATAATTACCCTAGATCATCTCTTAGGAGAGAGAAAAGAAAAAGCCTTGTCTTTATAAGCTTTCCTACACCACACTTTGGACACTGAAGTATCCAAAAGCAGTATTTTCTCACTGTAGGAATTGTACAGATTACTTACATAAGCACACTCAAATTCACCTTGAATTTTCTAAGCTTTTGGGAAATACTTCAAACACACACAAAAAAAATACATTTTTTTAAAAACCCAAGCAAACTCATCTCACTTTATGTTTGAGTCTTAAAGCTGCAAATGAAAGCTGCGTGCCAACACACATTTTTTTTTTTCCCCAAAGTAGAGAACAGCACCTTCCACATGCAAAACTTGCCATGTAGCTCAGATGAGCCCTACTCACCCTGGTTCACACTTCTCAGGGGGTCCTGCCACCAGCCCCACTACTCACTGCTTGGCTGCTTCAGCCTTCTGGCCAGGCAGCTCTCTGCTTCCACAGCTCCTGCTGCATCCAGTAGCCTCAGCAAGAAGCTCAGTGCAGCATCACCAGTCTTCAGCATGACTTTACTCTTCTTCTACAAGATTTGCTTCCATGAGGGCACCTTTTTTTTTTTTTTTTACTTGCACCCAGAAGTGTGTTCTTCCCATCTACAGAAAACCTCATGCAGCTCTGTTAAATAACTCATTGCAGCCAGATTTCAGTCACCTGTTACTGGTCTAGACAACTCCAGCAAAATCTCCTTTTTTACCTCCTGCTGGCCTGGTTTTACCAGCTGAAAGCAGGTAGGGCAGAGTGGGCCAAACCCCTTGAGTGTTTACAGAGTCATCACAGGTGTTAAAAGATTGGTACAGTGTATCATGGGAAAGGAAGGATTATGCTACGTTCAGATATGCTGGGTACTGCTGTCCTCCACCTTCAGAAAAAGAATAAAGGGCCAAAAAGTAAACAGATGCCCTTCTAAAATCAGTATCAAATTTAGAAGTGATTGCTCTCCGTATTTTGCTCATTAAGCAAATGCTTATTGTCCACTTCTCTGAACAGAGCTACAAGTTTTGTTGATTTCAAGATTATCTTCTCATCATCCGTGTGCAACACCGTATGTTGTAAGCACTCTCCCTCCCAACAGCAACCTGTTGGAAGGGCCTTTGAGCAGCCAGGTCTAGTGGATGATGTCCCCACCCATGGCAGGGGGGTTGGAACTAGAGGATCTTTAAGGCCCCTTCCAACCCAAAGCATTCTACGATTCTATGACTCTTCCCACCAGAAAGCCCTACTGGAGGCTCACTCCTCCAGGGCTTACCAAACACGTGCAGCAGCCTCAGGCACACTCATCTACCTGCTGTGCTTAGCTAAAAATGGTCAGGCATAACTGCAGTCTGCTTTCAGATACTGCCTTGCCTTGGAAAGGCTCTGGTGAGCACAGCCTCATAGGCTCCCCAGGCCCAAACAGCTCAGGGACAGGTCTCAGGCTGCTCCCTCACCTTCCTTGTCCTTGCTCAGGTGGCGGTGGCCCTTCCAGGTGTGCTGGGTACAGCTAATGGCCCTGCCCAGGCACCTCATTGCAGGGCTGAGGCAAACTCCTTGGGAAATGTAGGGTCATATATGCTGTGACAGAAAAGGTATGGTACAGTGGAGGCTGAGCTTTGTTATAAATAAAGGTCCTTGTTTAGATACTGTTGTAATTCAGGTTCCCCTTGAGAAGAAAAACCTGGTCAGCAATTGATCCAGCTCAAAAATGGCTGAGCTCTCAACACAGCTAGCACAGTCTCCTTCAACTGGCAGCCAGAAATAGCACTGGGGATATGTTTTTTTCCAGTTCAAAGTTTACAATGTTGGGCAAAAGCAGACTGGGATTTTCAGCTGAAAAATCTGAAAGATTACAGAAAGTTGATGTTTGGTTATAGAGTTCTAATTCAAGACACTTGCTTGGCTCTGCAATTTGGGTCTCTATATTACGCTTTTCCTTCTGCTTTTATGTCTGTCTGGATGGACAAAATGTGACACCAAACAAGCCTCAAAGCAGGCACTGATTAATATGGAAACAGAGGCACAGACGTGTACAAATCTAAGCCTTGCCTGATGTTAGAGACTTCAAGGCGGAACTGGAACTCTCTTTGGTTTTTAGCCCAATATATGCACAGAGCTGGTTCAGGCCTAGAACACAGAAATGACTACACTACAATCAGGAACATTTATTTCCATAATTAGTTGTGATGAGTTACCCCTTATGTATGAAAACAGATTGAGTTGTTTCACAGGGAATGTTAGCTTTTCTTCCTGACTCAATCACAAACTCACGCTGCTTTTGTTCTGCTCCCTGCTGGGGAATGAAAGTTTTCCATCCATATTAATTAATCTGCATTTTAATTTATAAAATTATTTTATGAAACATGTTTGGTCAAAATGTTAATTTAAGCCCACACTTTGTGCTGAAAATATCTAGTTATCTATGCTTTATAAATGCATAGAAACCTTCTCCCATGCTCCAGTCTTCCCCTAGAAAATATAACATCACACTCTCATAAGTTTTTCCACATCTTAGTGGGAGACTCCCCTACCTGTGCAAGTTTTATTATACTTTGAATTAACTTGGAAGAATTTATGAAAATATTAATTAGTATCAATGTTATTGAATGAACTGTGTGTGTAAGTGAGCCACCTCTGGCTTGCTGCCCTGCCTGGCAGCCTGTCTATTCACCAGCAAGCAACCCTCACCCCAGTTCTTGCATGTGCTGGAAGTGGTTGGCAAGGTTGATAACATCTCTGCCCAATGTCCAGGCCACCTGTACAAAGTATCTGTCTTCCTAAGACCTCAAAAAAAGTCATTTACCTAAAGTGGGAATGACAGACCTCCTTTCTGGGGTAGTGGGGCAATAACAGTACCAAAGAGCACGTGAGACCCAGGGACAGGAGTTTGCAAGAGCCTTGAGTGCACCCAGACAGACAAGCAGGAAAAAGCCCTTTTATGTCAGACCTGTTGCAAGATGTCACAGGGGAAGGGAGATGTGGCCTCTAGCACAAATCCGGATCCATGATATGACAGGTGAGCAACAGGAGTTGTAGAAAACCAAACCCATCCAGGATTTTTCTCTTGCCTCTACAACACCCTTTTCACGCTTCTTTTTTTCAGCCAGACTTCCTACAAAACCAAGCCCTCCTTAGTCATGTCTGCCCATATTCAATTCCCTGCATCCCTTTCTCCTCTAGTGAACTGGCCAATTAATTAAAAGAAAATCTGACACTTGAACTCAAACACTAAGATCCTCAGAAGGTGGGAGAAAAATCACCAGCTAAGGAGACAAGCTCCAGCAGCACCCACACTGACAAAGTGAAGGCAACCTGCACATAGAGACATTTCTTCTGCTGCACAGCTGGGTAGGCATTGAGCACTCAGGGCCCCCAGTCCTGGCACAGCACCTGCTGGTCCTGTCTGGCTAGGAACAGGAGGACATGGGGGAGAAAGAGAGATGATAATGATGTGATAAAGCCAAATGAAACCTGGTGACTCTTGCTCTGTTGGACACTGAAAAAATTGTCTTGTATTCTAGGTCAACCAGATAAAACATGCCACGCATTTGTTGGAGAAACTGTCATTTTGCCTTGCACCACCACCTCTCCTGGAAAGGTGACGCTTTCCAATTCAAAGCTCTACTGGCAGATAGACACTGTCATAGTGCACTTCTTTCACAATGGGCAGGATGAACTGAAGTTCCAGAACAAAAGCTACCATGGCAGAACCAGTCTTTTTTTGGACCAGATGAAGCATGGTAACTTTTCCTTAAAGATCTCCAATGTCCAATTACTGGACACAGCCATATATACTTGCATCTACAGACAGACTGGGGATGAAACACAGAAATCGAAAATTCAGCTCATTGTATCAGGTAAGATTTATTTTTTAGTTCAGAAGGAGGGAGTTGAGGGCAGCATTTCTAGCTGACAAGCCACATATAAGCCATTGACTGGGATGACTTCAGTTTTTAAAGCAAATCTTCATTCAGTTTCACTCCTTTCCTTGCTTTTGTTGGGAGAATTAAGTGAGAAGGAAAAAACCCTGCTTCTTTGCTAAGCTTCAGCACAGCATATTCCCTGAGCTACATCAAAAGAAGTGTGGCCAGCAGATCCAGAGAGGCGATTCTGCCCCTCCACTCTGCCCTGGTGAGACCTCACCTGGAGTACTGCATCCAGCTCTGGTGCCCCCAGCACAAGAAGGGTGTGGAGCTCTTGGAGCGTGTCCAGAGGAGGGCAACAAAAATGATCAGAGGGCTGGAGCACCTCTCTTATAAAGACAGATTGAGAGTTGGGGCTGTTCAGCCTGGAGAAAGCTCCAAGAAGACCTTATAGCAGCCTTCCAGTACCTGAAAGTGCTACAGGAAAGCTGGGAAGGAACTTTTTACAAGGGCCTGTAGTGACAGGACCAGGGGTAATGGTTTTATAGTAGAAGAGGGGAGATTTAGGTTAGACATTAGGAAGAAATTCTTTAGTGTAAGGGTGATGAGGCATTGGAAAAGGTTGCCCAGGGATGTTGTGGCTGCCCATTCCCTGGAAATGTTCAAGGCCTGGCTGGATGGGGCTTTGGGCAACCTGGTCTAGTGGGAGGTGTCCCTGCCCATGCAGGGAATTGGAACCAGATGATCTTCAAAGTCCCTTCCAACACAACCCATTCTATGATTCACAGAAGCAGCAGGACTCCTGAAAGGAAGCTGCCTGCTTCTTTCCCTCCCATTGCAGGAAACAACAAATCATAAGGTCCTCATCATTTTTAAGGAATGAGAGATTTTATTTCATTTTTTGCACGTAAGTCTGTGTGTGAAACAGGATTAGTTTTATCTCTGGCACTTGGTTCCAAAGTCCAGGCCATAGACTCTTTCAGATGAAAGACGGGCAGTTGATGATTACCTTTCCCTTGCAGCTGGAAAATCTAGATCCACTGACAAGGCTGGACACATGCAACAGAATTACTATTTTTCTTCCTTAGGAAAATGAATGAGACCATAACGCATGCTTGAACAATGCCAAACAACTGAGCTAACATACCTGAATTACCTAATAGCATGGCCAGCAGAATGATGGGGCACTGGGCTTTACCAGTTGACCAAATGAAAAAGCAAATTGAAAAAAAAAAGGGATACAGTGAAAACCAATAATAGATTTTTAAGGTGTTTTGCTTGAATACATCAGCTGGAAACTTCCATTATCGTTAACCACATATATTTAAATCTGCTTAAAACAGAAAAAAAAAGAAAACGTTTTCAAGTAATATAAACCATTTAATGTCTTTGTTTTAATGCACATCTTTCTCAGGAGAAACATCTTTTTGAAATCCAAAGTGAAACACTTCTGTTCAGAAAATCTCAAAGTGCAAAGGCTTGCAGTTTTCAACATGAAAAAAAAAGTTGTTTGAAACTGCAGAATGAAAATGTTTTTATTATCTAATATTTGGGAACACTGAGGTGTCTCTTACTTTAAATCTGTGATGATATTTGAACTTTCAGTTTGTTTGATAAATGTATTCTTTCTCAGAAAAAACAACCAAACCAAACAAAACCAAAACCAAAACCAAACTTCATTAACCTTTAGACTAGTTATCAGTACCTTTTCTCTGTCCTAGGCTCAAACAAAAAAACCTCTGATTCATGTGTTATTTTTTCCAGATCCACCTATCATTGATGAGGCAGTTACCCCTTCTGGTAAGGCAATACTCCTTGAACTGCTAAGTTCCTAAGTGATTATCAGGTGCTTTAATTTGAATTTGCGAGATTGGTAAAATATGCAATAGAGAAATTATAACGTGTGAATAGAGAAAGTCCAATAGACTTTTAGTGCTTGTTCTCTCTTACTGAATCTAGCAAAATACAGCTTTTCCAGACAGAGAAAAATATCTCCACCTAGACCTAGACTGCAGAAGTATACTGAATCACAGAATATCAGTGGTTGGAAGGGACCTCCAAAGATCATCAAGTCCAACGTTCCTGCTAGAGCAGGACTAAAACAACTAGGGCAGTGGAATTTTCTCAAAGCCAAAAGGCTGTATTTAAAGAAGAACGTTGCATTGATGTTTAACTTGGCCAACAACTTTTCCCCCATAAAAACTATTTCTTACCATGAAAAGGTATTTTCATTGGGGGGGGGGGGGGGGGGTGTGGGGGGGTGTGGAAAGGAAGTGATTGGGACAAGGGGGAGTTTTTCAGCTTTTCTATAGAGGAACAAACTGAATCACACACTTTAGACACCTGAAGGTTGGGGAGCTTGGGGATGGAGGAAAGACCAAAACCCTAACCTTTGAACCATATTTTTTTTGTAAAAAGAAAAAAAATTTTTGTGTGGTCAGTTTAACCTAAAGAAAATTTTCAGCCGTGGTTCCATTTTTAAAATTTATTTTCAGCAATTTCTTAAGAAAGGGAGGACGAGAATCTGGTTTTTATTAGTTGTTATTTTGGAAGGGACTTAGAAATGTTAAATGACCTGCTGAGAAGAAAGACATTGTATGCAGAAGTAGTTCTCACACTTTGCAGTCATCATAGCCAGGTCAGCAGATATGTATTATTTTTATACAAAACAGAGACAATTTTGATCTGCTTCCCTTCTTGTTTTGTTTCTGTTATTTGCTGGATTGATTACTTTTCCTAATTATTTTAAAGAGCCTAATTTTCATGTCCTTCTGGGTCTCTTTCTAGAGTCCTGCTGGGTCAATCAAAACATGTTTTAATTTTTTCACGGGAAAAATGAAAGTGCCTGGGCCTGGAAGAGGTCTAAAGAGGCCAGGAGACTTGATATAATCCTACATTTATTTCAAAGTGTTACTGAGGAACACCCAATGTTTACTTGCTCTTTACCCGTTAATACCACATACTTCTTTCTAGGAAGAGCAGGAGGAAGCACATCTATTAGCAATAAGCTAACGGCAGCAACTTACTGAAAGATGATGCCATAGCCTAAAAATTGGTATAGAAAACAATATACAGCTTGATCTTCCCAGGGAAGGACTTGGACCCAAACACCTACAGGAAAAATTCTCTACTGCTTAAATCAGGGGTTCAATTGTTGTTGTGATTTTAACCTGTGTTCTACATCCAGCACAGGTTGCAGATATTATCTGTGCCAAGTGCAACCTGTGCCCTGGGTCCACCTTGTGGCTTATGTACCAGTAGTGGCACACAGTGCCTCTACCACCTAAGCATTCGTGGCATAGACATTTTAGTACTTACAACCACTATTCATGGACTCTCATTCATGATGCCTTCCTCAGGCCCTGAGTAGATAGAATTACAATGTATTTTGCACTCTCTTAGTTGTAGTTATTCTATCAGGATTTCTTATGTTCTTAGTAAAATGTTCTTAGTTATCCAGAAAAGGAAATTCTATTCTTTGCTGCTGAGAGTTTGTGCCTTTTCTATGAAGGGGGAAAAAAAATATTTGTCACAGTACCCTGAGACTGGTTTTTCTGGATTGTACACACAGAGACTGACACGTAGAATTTTGAAAATGAGCCAAAATTCACACGATTATACAAGCTTCCATCAATGCATTTATGTAAAATATATCACACAAACTTCAAATACACTTCTTGTCAAGATACCAGTTACATGTCAACTTTCTCTGTTTTTACTTTTTCAGGACACAGTCAGGTTTCCTCCAGAAGCCTTGCCGACGCACCGTGTCTGACTGTGCTTCCCCTCTCTTTCCACCTCCTGCTCATGCTGGGAGTGTGGCAATGGTAACTGGGAACACCAGCTTTCTCTTTGGAAAGCTCTCCTCACAAGAGGACCTCACTGGGCAGAACAGCAGTGTAGGGTTAGTGTGACAACTGCTCCAGAGCCATGCGAAAGAAACACCAACAGCTGAAAACAGACCAAGCACACACCTAGTGTTTAAGTCCCACATTTTAGTGTTCCAGTATACCAAAGGCAGCAAAACTCAGAGGTGGCAAGTCTGCTTTTCCATTTGATTCTTGGAGCCTAGTTTTAGTGCTGCTGATAGGAATATTTAATTTTGGATATTTTGTTTTTTTCTTTAATAACAGGATAAAAGACTCACAGATCTACAAAGGTCACATTATAATCGATCCTAGTGAGATCTTTGGCTTAAGACCTCATCTACTGTTCTTGAAGAGAACTGAGAGAAAGATGAGTAATTATCTTCTGTGTCAGATAAAAACTGGGAGTAGGAAGATGCTTGTATTGTGTGAAATGTAAGGAAGGAAACCTTGTGAAACTTGAGCCTGTGGAACTTTCATTTCTGTTTTTACTCTGAAGTGTCATGAGCTAATAGTAACAACTTCTTTTTTTTTTTTTTCCTATGAGAAACATAGTGTTTCTTCAGTGGAAGGGTGAAGTTGACCCAGAAAGATGAGGAAAGATCGTAAGGCATGCACACAGAGGAAGGAAGTGATGCATTATTACAAAATCCACCTCTAAAAAAGCCAGAAGCTTTATAAGGCTGAATTCAGTATTTTCTCTTTTTGTCATGAAACACAGCAAGGTAAATGCAATTGTTGCACAAAAGCTGGATTCTTAAGCTAGAACAGTGCAATAAGAAATTGTGATAATGTTAGTTCCTTAAAAATGGACCAAACATTTAAAACCCAACAATTAAAGACTGGACAGACACTTGTAACTGATATGTATGTAAATTAAATGGGTTTCATTCTGGAAAAAAATGTTCAATTCTGGTAGCATAGGTGTTCTGTGTAAAACTAAGATTGAAAGGATCCAACAATAACAAGGAAGTGCAGAAGTTTTGTTTCAGGCCAGAGCTGCTGCAACCACCGTGTTAAAGAACTCAGAAGCATCCAGAGAACTACTCACACAGGCTGGTGAGCAGTGAGGACTGTAGGACACTCCTTCTGGCTGAGCCCTTGAGCAGAGGGAAGGGACTCATCAGGATGCACATGAAGTCATTTTTATTTGGAAACCTCCCACACTCTT